GATTATTTAAATCCCCGCTTCTTTGACTATGCCGAATAAACTATTTTACATGGCTCCATCGACGGAGCCATGTAGTCTAGATGTAGCCTTAGTGAGGACTTTTTTTTTTTTTGCTTAGCTTCTCACTTGTGCGCAGACCCCAACTCATCTTTCTGTGGGTCAGTGGCCCCTGATCCAAAAAAGGTTCCTCATCCCTGGTGTGCCCTAATAAATCTGTTAGTCTTTAAGGTGCCACAGGACTCCCCCTTGTTTTTGCAGGTACAGACTAATACGGCGACCCCTCTGAGACCTATCACTACAAGGACACCCATCACATCACTGAGCCCAGGTCTACACTACTGGAGAAAGTCGACCTAAGATACGCAACTCCAGCTACGAGAATAGAGCTACGAATAGCTGGAGTCAATGTACCTTAAGTCGAATTTCTGCTGCATCCCCATTGTGGGAGGTTGACTGGAGAAACTCTCCCGTTGACTTCCCTTACTCCTTACAACCCGGCGGAGAACGCGGGTCAAGAGGCGCACCATCAGCGTCGGAACAGCGCGGCAGCCATTTTTATTTTAATGATGCGGGGATTATTTAAATCCCCGCTTCTTTGACTATGCCGAATAAACTATTTTACATGGCTCCATCGACGGAGCCATGTAGTCTAGATGTAGCCTTAGTGAGGACTTTTTTTTTTTTTGCTTAGCTTCTCACTTGTGCGCAGACCCCAACTCATCTTTCTGTGGGTCAGTGGCCCCTGATCCAAAAAAGGTTCCTCATCCCTGGTGTGCCCTAATAAATCTGTTAGTCTTTAAGGTGCCACAGGACTCCCCCTTGTTTTTGCAGGTACAGACTAATACGGCGACCCCTCTGAGACCTATCACTACAAGGACACCCATCACATCACTGAGCCCAGGTCTACACTACTGGAGAAAGTCGACCTAAGATACGCAACTCCAGCTACGAGAATAGAGCTACGAATAGCTGGAGTCAATGTACCTTAAGTCGAATTTCTGCTGCATCCCCATTGTGGGAGGTTGACTGGAGAAACTCTCCCGTTGACTTCCCTTACTCCTTACAACCCGGCGGAGAACGCGGGTCAAGAGGCGCACCATCAGCGGTGGGTCCTTACTAGATCTGCTAAATCGAATCCCAGGAGATCAATCTCTGGGTAAGTATAGACCTGCCCTGAGTAGTCACAGGAGAATGCAACTAATCCCAGGGGCACCATCCTTGTCCAAGGAACTGCCAATGGCCCCTTTGAACCCTTGTGGGATAAACTCTTGGCCCATGTTAAAATGAATCCATTATTAATGGCAGGGTTCCAATATCAGCCACATACCCGCTCGTCCTTTGCAACTTCTCTCTGGTGTGTTGGATCCAGGGTTCCTTCCCCTCTGCACCCCCGACTCCCTGTGAAGACATAACTGGCTCGCTCACCGCTTGCTCACGCTCACCTATGGATGAGAGAAGCAAAGAGAAGAGGGTGAGCAGGCCAAGCCCACAGCAGGACAGCCCATGCCTAGAGCCCCCGGCAGCCTCGAGAGCAGCAGAACAATGAGAAATGTGATGGGGGAACAGGAGGTTTTGGAGGCTTCTTCACTTGCTCAGTGGGGAAAATGACTAAGGAAGGAACTAAGTGGTGTCTGAGCAGCCCTTGAGCTGCTAGAGTTTGTGTTTTGTTTAGTAATTCTGTAACCTCAACCATTTTTAACGATTACATGGTTACTAAAATAATCCCGGGGGGCAGGGCCAACAGCCAGTGCGCTCCCAGCTCCCAACCCCACTCCCAGGGAGCCCCCTGTCATGCCATACTGCTGGCTCTGATACAGAGGCAGCAACGTGGGACAGCAGCAGCCCCTGTCCGTGGGGGACCTGAACTCCCATGGACAGAGGTTGATCCGGCATCCCACGGAGCAACCTCTGTCCGCAGTGAGCCTGGGTCCACCACAGACAGAGGCTG